ATATTCTTATATATTAATTATATTTATTATATTAATTATATATTAATTATATATTAATTATTATTAATTATATCTTATTATTATTATATTATTTTATATTAATTATATTAAGAATATTAATATATATTAATTTATATATTATATGTATGTATATTTGATATTCTGATATTCTGAATAGATTAGATAGATAGGTTTTCTTTTTCTTCGGACTACTACGATAGGTACTGCTACTGAGAGTATACCGAGGATATATAGATATCAGATTATATTAGAGAATATATTTCATAGATGATATTGAAATTGATGCTGGAGATTGATTGGAGAATTGAAAACTGGGAGACGGGGAGACGGGGAGACGGGGGAGATTGGGAGATAGGGGGTAATATATGTATTTGATGATTTGATCATTTATTTATATCTCGGTCTATCTTGATTCTTGAGTTTGGAAGGGATAGAGTTTGGGAGGGAAGGAGTTTTTAAAGGGAATTGTGGGAGGGGGGGAGAGGGGGGCTTTAGAGGTATGGTGTAGGTGCTTCGGTACTCGGGACTTGGGGACTAGTGATGAGAGTACCGTATTCTTTTGGAATATGGAAGGAACGCTAGCAAGAATTTAAAATTTAAGCTTATTATAGGTTAGGGTTGTAAAAAACACTAGAGGCGATTGATTTGTTAATTTAATGGATTATTTATCAAATATCTTGAAAATTTCAATTAACTTTTTTATTTTGAAGTATTTTACTCCATTTAAAAGCGATTTAATTGGCTCTAAAACAAGCTTAAAGTAATAATCCTTACTAGCATTCCTTCCATATCCCAAAAGAATACGGTAATGGTTTGGACTCTGGACTCTGGAGGCTGGAGGGTGGATTAGAGTTGTGAGGTAATGGATGTGTGATGTCAAGCGATGTGATGATGTATAATGTATGATGTATGAAGATTAGATAAAGTTTTCTTTTCCTTTTTTCATCGTTTATTATTTATTTTTGGATGTTGGGATATTTGGTAATGTGATGTACCTACCCAGCTATCTATCTAGCTACCTACCTATCTAGCTGTAACTCAAAGAATGAGATCATCAACATCAACATCACTCAATCAGATGAGACGAGCAGAGCTTAGTTCGGATGAGCATACGGGAAGGGAAGGGAAGGGATAAACGGAGAAGCTTTCATACCTAGATCCTTGGTAGACTCGGTAGGTAGGGGGGTACTTGAAACAGCGGATGTTTGGGATGAATAAACGGATGAGTCTGGATTCGGGATCGACGGCGTGACTCGTGAGATGGGGGATTCTCGGAGGTGGTGGATAGGATAGGTTGGTGGGTGGGTGTTTAGGGAGGAGTGTGGTTCTGTTTACTTAGGTATTTTTGGAGTGGTGGATGGATGGGTATTGTGTAGTATGTATGTATGTAGGTATTGTATATATGTAGGCATTGTATATCGATTCTTGACATCTAAGTATCACTCGAAAGAAGAGGGAAAGAAATGGGCAACGGAGGATTGTGTAGGGCAAAGTTGTGTATGTATGTGAAAATCACACGGGTGGTGTTACGATTGCATTTTGTTGCATATCTGAATTTTCGACGCAAGTACGCGCATCCATCTTTTTGTTGCATCCATTTTTTTTACACATCCAGCTCTTTGATACATCCCGGAGAAAAAGCCGTTCACCAAAATTCTATATCTTAATCAAAATTTAATATCAAAACAGCATATTAATTCTTTTGCTTGGAATTCCATACGTTAATAATTTTTCAAAGAAAGATTCTAAAGCTTTAGTTTTCAGGATAATATTATATATATAGAATTTTATATGGAATTTTGAAAAAGACTATCTCTAAATTTTCTTTAATTTTTGCGGGTTTGATATCCAGCTTTTTCTCCGAGATGCAAGATCCCCTCCTCTTCTTCGTGCAACCTCTCTTTTTCAGATATGCAACAAAAATTCTAATCATGTGTATCCTCTGATCAAGCGATATTATTGGTTGTGCAGGACTCACTTATGTAATTGATTAGAAGCTTGAGGCTAGTGGTTTTAGCGTGGAAAGCTAGTAAGCTAAGAAAAAAAATCTTGTGGCATGAATTGGAAAATTAACATCACCACCACAACACAACGAAACAAATATTGAACAACATAATTACGGCGTAATGCTGGGTGTTGATGACAGTGTCTTGCCTTTTTGAAAAAGATGAGAATGATGAGGATATGATAAAAAGAGATACCATTGACGCCAGAGGAAAAATAATGGAATGGTTATGAGAGATTGATGACTTATGGACAAGATGTCGCGATTCATCATCCTCAATGGGTATCACTTTCATCACTAACAAAGCAGCTCAATTCACACGTCACTCCTTCATCACAAAACCAGCAAACAACAATCTCAAAACACAAACGATACATCGCATCAATATCCCAACTCTCCGTAAGTACCTTTTCTCTATCTCTCACCCAACCAAACCAGCATCACAAAAAAAACTACAATGATGAGATCAATACCCTCAAAATTATCTTTAGGAAGAGCCGTATGAGGTTGACATCCCTAACAAAAACACTCACGTTGATATCCGTGTGGCATCGTCATATGCAGCGGGTATTGAGGTCGGTGTGGGATCGTTGACGGTGCTTTGAGTGTGGGGTTCTGAAGTTTCTTTTTTCCGTTATGGGATTTTGTGATGATGGTTTGGGAGGATGGATGGATTTTCTCTAGAATTCAAGCTAATTTTTTGCTGGAAGAATAGAAAGATATTGTGAGGTTTGAGAGGGTATAGACGAGCATCTCGGGGGGATATTAAGGAGGGTTTTGAGGTGCTGGCATATTCCAGGGTCATGTCGATGGCAGAATTCGGGATACATTGGAATGGATGTTTCTGCTGTTATAGTAGTAGTGGCATGACATTGAATGAACAACACAAGCTGGCGTATCTTGCAACTGGTCGATGATAGTTGGTTGACATGTCACCGTTGCTTGCAAAGTCGATTAGCTCAACGATCAAGAATAGTCAGATGGGTCTTCTCGCTGGGTGTCACCTGCCGGTGTTGATGGTAGCAAAGTTGTTTATCCTCAATGCCGTGCTGTGTACGTGGTCAAGTGGCTTCCTAGTCTGTAGGCGATGCATAGTATGCTGCCAGTCTTTCCTTGAAGCATTCTAGTTTAACTGCATTAGATGTAACTCTTCCATAGACGTAATACCAAATTTATGAATTCATTCCATCATCCATATCCATGCCATGCTATGTTCAAGATCCTGTCTCGTTAAGGCAGCCTTGGTGAACGTCAATCCACAAACATTCAAATTCATGTTTCCGAACGGCTTGGAGAAGTATTCATCTTTTTCCTTGGCTGAGACGAAATGTACAAAGAAGAGAATGGGGGGATGGTACCATTCCACAGCAGCTATATTCATATCACATCTATAAACCACTCTATAAAAACCATCAAGAGTTAGCTGTCACAATATAATTCATATATCAGTACAGGAGGGGAGGGGAGGGGAGGGATGTATGACTTCACTCCACACAAAAAAAATGAATACATATAAGAATCTCCCTAGATTGGTAGGTATAGGTAGATATAGGTAATAGTCCATCATATAACGGGTGTCATGTATGTACTATGAGACTATGAGACTATGTAGTATGTAATATGTAGTATACAATCTTATTTGATTTACTTTTACTTTTACTTTTACTTTATGTTTGGTTGTTGGAATGTTGTGTTTAGGTAGTTAGGTGGGTGGATGGGGTTTTCTTGTTTGGGGATTGGGGGTTGAAAGTTGAAAGTTGAATATCAATGGATTTGTTATGGGATTTGGGGGGGTAGAGGGAATGAGATGGAGGATATTTAAATATGAGTATAGGTATAGGTATAGGTATAGATATAGCAAGAAAGATTTAAGGGGTAAAAAATAGAGAAGAAAATGGAGAAGAAAAGGAAATATAGATAAATAGATTTTTATAAATGACGATACTTAGATATAGTCCGTTTGATTTATTTAATATATATTTATAATATATATACATATAATATTAGATCAACTATCTATCTATTTACCTCCATTTCATCATTCCTCTTCTCGCTAAAGTCCTATTCTCAAAATTGAAATTTGAAAGTAAAGAAATTATATATGTCTAGTATCACCTTATTATACTTCTTCTTATTCTTTACTATATATCAGGTTTCTACTAATAGCGATAAGCTACTATACTTCTTATCTCTTATTTCTTCTTCCTTCTACTTATTCCTTCTATATAGTTATTAGCTAGATATATATATATATATATCCTCTATAATTTATATTTTATAATTCCTATTCTTTATATTTAGGATCTTTTCTTTTTCGTCTTTTTGATGTATTCTCATGATTATATTATATTTTATATTTATACTCTGTATTTTATATTTTATACCTCTCTCTATTTTCCCATTTTCCCATTTTCCCATTTTCCTATCTTCCTATTTTCCCATCTTCTCATTTTCCCATTTTCCCATTTTCCCATCTTCTCACTCCTCACTCCTCACTCCTCACTCCTCACTCCTCACTCCTCACTCCTCACTCCTCACTCCCTACACCTCAAACTCTCAATCTCATATACAAAAAACCCTTCAATACATACATACATACATACCTACACACCCACACATTCACACACCTACACAAACACTCCCCACCATTTCCAATTTCCCCCTCTCCCCTTATTCAATTTCCCCCTTTCCCCTAAGGGTATTCAACTCCCCTACAGAACATTCCACACAACATCATACTAGACATACCAAACTATCTCCAAACCACAATCAACAAATCAAGAAAATAGTAAATGGAAGAGAGTTTAAAATTAAGAAGTAATATCTCATTTACCTACTCTTGTATAATCATAGGTACCTAATGATATAAAAGATCACTTAAACGAATTAGATAAAAAATGCCAAGCAAGATTCAACTTTGAGACTGGAATAGACGAACTTACATATATTATATTCAAGTTATAGTCATTCAGGATCCATAATGATATGATATTGTGAATAGTCTCTTCTTATTTCTCATACTAATCATCATTTCCTTCCTTTCATATTCTCCAGTAAATATGCCACTATAACACTATCTACCCTCCGCAAGATCACAGTGTTTACTGATTTTCCATCAATATTCCCCTTGCCATGCTCTATTAGGACGCCTCTCCCGCCAAGTGCATGATCTTACTAGCACCACTTGTTATCCTTTGCTCTCTTCCCATTCTCCTAAATCCCTCGTTCCTCGATCTCCAATAATTTCAACCCCATTCATTCAATAATTTAAGAAAAGCCATTTGCGCACTCTCAACCGCCACAACCCAAATGAAAAAAAAAACCGCTCGCAAAATACCAACGAGTAAAAAAAACCACATAAAACAAAAGAGAAATCGAACGGTTAGTTACCTAAGGGTCAAAGTCAAAATAAACATGGGTATTAGAAGGCAAAAGTATGTTCCCGATTCACTATCTCCCGAGACGCCGCTATTTGATTCACCTGGCATCCAGCTCGCTTTTTCCAGTAATACAAAACGATATATCCAGACAACTATGACCAGAAATTAAATTTTGTGAATGCAATTGGTGTAAAGTATGTACAAATACAGTGAAAGTCGTACGTATATGTGTAAGATTGTGGAGGGGTGATGCAGATGCAAGTTGAATCTGCTTCCACGAAAAGTATGATGTCGAGAGATCATTCTAGATTGTGTTGTAAGAGTGGCCGTGAATCATAAAAGTTCGCACTGGAAATAAGCTGTGATACCTAGTATTATAGAACCATAAGCTCGAAAAACAAGAGATTATTCGAAAAGAGTTGAACACTTTGGACATGCAACCCGTTGCAATGTCACCGTATGCGGAGTTGATCTCTTGTCCGTAATTTTGATCATTGGTGGAGTCTGCTCATCCTGATCATGTGCGAATTCCCCTTTGAACTCTTTGGAGTATATCTTCTGTTTCGATTTCCCATTCTTGTTCTTCTTGTCTTTGGGTTTTATTCCATTGGTTGCCGTCTTATTTTGAGGGTACTCCTCGTGATATCGCTTGACGAGGACGTCTTCTACCAAACACTCCGAATGATATAGAGTTTGGCAATCTCTATTATCACAAATATGCTCATATTCGCGTTTATCGGGATTGTAGTGACCATTGCAAATACAATAGACGGGCAAGTCCTGGAGGAAAATGATTAGTTTTAATGTGTCTGATTCACAGAGATAAAACTCACCGAAAGTCTCTGGGTGGCTTGACAGAATGTCTGACGCCAGTAACACTTGCTGGGATCCGGATCAGATACTGCATAATCATCAAGGTCCTCAGAAAAACGTTCAACATCTAGCTTTCCTGCGAAGGTCAATACATCTACGACATCCAGATAATTGCTCGCAATAAGCTCTGAATTTCCGTGGTATTTCCTCCGTCCTGAACTTGCGGATGTCTCGCCAGCAGCTTTGGCTGTTGCTGGTAATTCTTCCGGCCAATACATCCAGGCAACCTAAAACCAATCAGTCCAAGGTCTTTTCTCAAAGATAATAGTATTTACCAAGGCGTAGACATGCTGCGGATCTTTAGCTCTAACCTGTAATATCCTTGCTATCCAAAAGTCCCTTGGTTGTGTGCCTGTTTCTGTCTTGCCCTTTACATAAACGAATTGATTGTTTTTATAAGTATCGCCTTGGACTGCTTTGAATTAGAAGAAATTCAGTAGTTAATGGTTGAACTACACTTACTTATAAAGTTGTTATATTTCCTCATGGCCGCCCACTCTGTGTTTGGCACAACAGTATAATGGTAATTAAGTTCGTCCTCCGGCGCATTGAAGCCTTGAAATGGTGATATATGCTCCTCTGCCAGTGCTCTTAGTGCTGCATTTTGTTTTGATTCCTTTCCTTTTTTATCCAAATCCATAAGCGGTATCTTAATCTCGAAGGATATCGCTTCTTGAACAGCGGCAGGAGAGGACATAGAACCGGGCTCGGAAGACTCTGTCTTCATTCGTTTATTCGAAGATGAACTCGAGCCATTCAAGCCATGTTTTGGCGCCATGGTAAACAGCGATGTATAGCTGCGAGAAATGAATTTAAGAGTATCGAGTATTGATGGGAAATCGCGTGCGCGGGGACGTGAAGTTGATCTGCGAGTTGACTGCAAAGCCGACTCGGGGTTTGTAAAAAGTTTTGAGGCAGAGATAGACTGGTAAATGTTATGATATTTAACCAAAGTAAATATAAATGTAAATGTAAATAGGTGACCGAGGAGGGTTTGCAGATTTTCGATGTAGGTAGGTGATCGTAGAGGATATCAAAACTTTCAAGAAATAAAATAGCTACTACCTTTCGAGGTACTTCAGAATGAATGAAGCTACACGCGATTAAGATCTTGCTCCCCCTTTGGCAGAATAAAGTCAAGGTAAAAGATTCACCACGAAGTATTTGGGATTTGAGTAAACAGTTGTCAATTATTGCGACAATTCTATGTAATGGATGCGATTTTGGTTGTGGTTGAAGAGCTTCAGAGTTCAATCAAAACAATTGACAATTCTCCCAGCTATCAAGTGTTTATCAAAGTGCAAAGTGCAAAGTGTAAATAAAGTGTCGCACAACAATTAAACACGCTCTGATAAATCCATTTCATTGGTCAGCCAAAGTTCACGTTAGATTTTACAGATCTTATTGGCCCATTTTTTGCTAAATTTGCTTTTTTGATTGGTCGATCAATAATTCAGAGCAAAATCAATGTAAATAGAGCAATGATACTCGTAGGTATCTTTGACAACATTACGTATCTGTGCCTCGAGAGGTCCCTTATGTTTCTATACCGTACGTACGTACCATATCGTATATAGCTATCAAATCCATATTCATGAATGAATCATCGGAAACTTTTCTCACATCGTTCAACTACCTACTAGTATATATATACTTTGTATGGTATTGTCAACATCAGGTCCCTACCTCGAGCCTACCTACCTAGAAGTCGAGTCACATGTTGACGGTGCGGACGATTCATCAGTTTTCTTCATGGTCCCAAGGTATATATGCATTGCAAGCCAAAATATATCATTGAAAAACTTCCTTTCTTAAACAACAAATGTCAAAAGACAAATATAATCAAAAAAACTCAATCCAATCCCACAAGTCAATCATTACTCGGGTATCATTTTGTCCTCCCAGAAGAATATCAAAACTCCTCTCCCCAACTTCGAAATTTATTAATGAAGCCCCCTCAAATCTAACCGGCGAAGAAGCTTGCAATTCTCAGGTCAAGATGGGCCAAGTCCCATTCTACCAATCTCAGAGAGTATCCTCTCCTTCAACCACTCATTTCTCAGTAGCATGCGCCTTCTTCTTGAACAGCTTATTCTTCAACTTATCCGCCAATCCAACCGGATGTTGTACACCCGGCTTGGTCGCATTAACCACATTGCCCTCTCCACCTCGTCCGAAATGCACAACCTCGCCATCGGTGCTGGGCCTCAATGCAGCATCTGGGATACTATCCGCATCGCTCCGTTTGGTAGCTGGGAGACCAGGGGAGCCGATATTTGCAGCCCCACCGCGACCGACGCTGAATGCCCCATCGCCGTGATCTCCTGCTGGTCCTTGACGGACAATTTCGCCATCAACATATCTATTGCGCCTATTAGTTTACTTGTCAAAGAATTCCGCCTTGTATTGGATTGCGAATGCTCAAATATCCGCGATAGAAGGAAGGTGCTGCATACTGAGTGGAATCGGCTCCAATATTTCCTGCGCCTGCTATGACGTTAGAATCTCCCTCTACTGAAGACATTCAAGAAATACATACCTCCGCGACCGTGACTAACTTCAGGCTCCGCCATTGTGATAATATTTAAAATTCGTTCTTGCGATTATGCCCCTTTGAATATGAGAATCTGCGCTCAATAAATAAGTAAGTATCGTACTATGCGATCAAAGAAATGGGAATCCCGAGCAATATAAATATTGCGCAAAGGGATCCTTGGTCCCGTCTCAGCCCACTTCACACCCCGCAATCGGTCATATCACAAACCTCCAGCTCACCACGCCATTAATGAAAGTCCCTTCGTTCTCTTTCACGATATGGAGGAGAGATGTGGCATAGAGTTAAAACTAACATCACTTACTTCGAAAATATAGCAAGCAGTTGCAGTAATGTTTGCGCCAGAAATTCCGTCAGGTGGAACAAAAACAAGTCGAGTAAGAAGACGAAACTTCATTCAATCTTCATTCAATAAACTGGAAATCATCAAGGCTATTATCTACACGTGCTTTGATTAGGCTCCTATTTAGGTCTCCTCCGTTTCCGTTCCTTGATTAGCCTTCTTTCCTTTCATCAATCAAACATGGATAACAAATGTATGAACGGAGTCTCTAAACCTAAAATCCTATGATGTAATCTATTTGTGATTTCTCTCCTGCAGCATCAACAAGATCGAGTTAAGTTCTTACCTACCAAAGTGCAGGAACCATTGTCTTGCCCATGGATCATCACATATCCAATACCTACCCTTACACGCGCTGACGGAATACATACCACCTAGGTATCCTCTCGCACGGAGTACAAGCTCAAATGTACGATGTATTACCAGATATCCAACAGTTATTATACTTTTACTCGAGCTTACATGAGCTACCTAGGTAGGTAGTAATCACAGCTCCACTCTTCCCCGATCCTTATCTCTAACCATGATGTGATAATGTCAAAGATAAGCTCAATCCCACTAAGTACTCGCCTATTCAGGAGTCGTCCATCCCTCATTCAGCAGAGAAGCAGTCGATTGCATGTGCAATGAGCCAATGAGATAGAGAAACAAGAGAACAAAGATGCGAGCGAGTGTTTTGTTGCATGTCGGAGTGTGAGGTGTTATGTTATTGTATTTCATTGTTTTTGAGAAGGGCGGAGGGCTTATCTCTAGATTGTCCTGCATGAGAGAACTGGACTGGTCCTTGATGGGATTTATCATTGGTGTGTAGTATAGATGTAATGTATATGTATGTATTATTGTATGTATATGTAGGTATATGTATGTATATGTATGTAATGTATGTAATGTATGTTATGTATGTATATGTATGTATATGTATGTATATGTGTTTGTATATGTATCTATATGTTGTAATGTATGTATGATGTGTATTAGTCTGTATATGTATGTACTCTGTATGATATCTGTATGTTCTGTATAGTATGTCTCATGTTGTCTACTGTTGTCTCTGTATGTATATGTGTCTATCTGTCTGTCTACTGTATGTCTATGTATGTATATGTCTGTTCTGTATGTCTCTGTATGTACTCTGTCTGTCCTGTCTGTCTGTCGTCGGTGGGCTCTTCGTCCGTACGGGCGCGCTTTTCTGGCACGTCGGTAGGTTCTTGGATAATGATAGGTATCTCGATTTTGCAAATAGCGGAGGATATCTTGAGCATATGGAGAAAACCTGGGGATTAAGCTCTATGGTAGATTAGAGTGGAAGTTTAATAGTTATATACCAATCACAGTTCGATTATTTCAGCTTGTACCTCACTCAAGCAGGTAATCGAAAGCCGCACGAAAAATGACAATAGCGGGTATCCATGAATAAGTAGGTACCTTAGTGGTGATATGCGTAACCGATATATGATATATAAATGATGTATACACTATGTAAATATATTTACATCATATAAACAGTTTTACATGGTGTATCGCCTTATCCCATGTTAGCATCATATATACACCATATAAAATTTTTTACATCGTATATACACCATGTAAAAAATAATGTAGGGTAGCTATAAAAAAGCTTTAAAACTAAAAAAAGGATCTTTAATACTACCTTGATAGATAATTACCTAATCAAGTTAATTCTAAAGATTTTTTTTTTTTTATCAAAACAATATATACTACCACTGCACTACAGGGAATATTAATTTGAATAAAATGGCTTAGTAATATTAAAATATATCCGATATCTAAAAAAAAATAATTAAAAAATAATTATTATTGCTTATTAAGCATGTAAAAAAGTTTATACTATATAAAAAATTTTATATTATGGAAAAAGTTTACATGATATAGAGAATTCTATATTGTATATATACTATATAAATTCTCAACATTATATATACATTATATAAAATATTTACATTATGTATATACCATTTACCGGTTACGCATAGCTCCACTAAGGTACTCTATTAACAAATCGGCCAATGTATACAAGAATACAGTAAAAGAACCACAATGATTTGTTGAAATAATGGAAGACACCCATTCATTTGCGCATTGCATTTGAAGACACAGACACTACTATTCCATGATTTGACATGCTCTTATAAGATTTTACTATTGAAAGCATGTTCAATGATGAGATGTGCAACAAAAGTGTGCATTTGCATACCGGTTTGCATTGCATGTATGTTACACGACCTTGAAGGTTATTTACCAGATATACAGCAAACACTTCTTCAATATTAGATGATTAATATTCTTAGAATTTTCAGTGTTTATTGATGAATACAAGATAGAGAGGTAGGGAAATCATATGCATCTTTGGTGTCATTTTGAGATATTATAATGTAAAATCTCATCATTTGTTGGTCTCGAAACATATATGTAAAAAATAATTGCTTATCTTTTTATTGGAAATACATGATTTCTATTTTCTTCTGATAGACAGTGTGAATGTTGAGTTCCCAGCATACTCCAAACCCTTCATCATATTAACATCAGAATCGTCATCAGCCATCTCCTTTGCCTTCATAGCATCAGCCTCGACAGCCTCCTCTGCCACACCACGCGCAGCGTCCGACTTCATCATGTTTCTGTCTGTTGCAGTCGACAGCCCCTATACATTTATGTGATCAGCACATCCATCTCACAGGCATCAATGAGTAATGTCATAGATAAAACTTACCATCTCCCTGGCATTCTGGGATTCTGTTACAAGTCTCTTCTTTGCTTTCCTGGCTGCTCGCTTCCGCGCTCCTTTATTATTCTCTCTCCTCTTTGCTGCCTCTTCCGGATGTTCTGCGTCCCATCTAAGTTTTACCTCGGCTATTGCTCTAAGTTCCGCCCTCTGCGCATCTCCTGCGATCTCAATTTCCCTCCGCATCTGGAACTTTTTGAACTTTTCAATCTTCTTCTCCTTGTTGCGAGCTTGACCTTCTGCAGATTTTCTCCTACCCTTCTCCGTCTGGGTCCACTTGATTACTCTTCGCTTTTTCTCATCCTCTGCTCCTGGCCCTATCAAATATTTCAAACTCTCCAACAGCTCCTCGCTCTGTGTATGGAGTTAGTATGGAGTTATGATCGTATTGTCATGTGCTGTAATGAACTAGAAGATAGCACTCACGGTCATATTTTTGCTGAACTGCACGTTAGAGTACCTAGCTTCCGGGACAATTCCACTGCCTTCTTCTCTGGCTCCCGCCGTGGCTTTATTTTCTTCTTCAGCTCCTAACATGTTTGAATCGTCTTCTTGGGGTTCCATCATTATAGTGGCTGCAATCAATTGCGGTATGCAAAGTGCGATGACGTTGTGATGGAGTTCAAATTGGAGGTGGTGGGGGGGAACTGTTTTGTTGTCGGAAAGAGGAGAAGAAATTATTTGGCGCGAAACGTCAACTATATAGATGTGAAATTTCTCCAAATTCACTCTTTATCTATCCAACAAGGTAGGTATTGCGCAATATTCAATAGGCTACCAACCTCACTGCTGTGACTGACGCTGAGCGAATATAAGCATCATTGGACAATAGTCCATGTCTGAGTCTTGAAAAAGGGATCGGCATTTTCGAACTCTAGGTAGTCATTTGCATTTTCTAACCAATACAATTCGTAGCAATGGTCATGTTGAGCATTGTACCCAACAATCCCAATCCCCCTTCTCATGAATATCTGGAATGTAGCAAAATAGTGAATATAATTCAAAGGAAATGCCCCACTTGTGGTAGGTAATTTCTCAATCTTCAACTTTGAAAGATAGCGGGAGATTCCACTGACATGTTGTCCTGTTCAATAGATCACTTTCCAAACGGTGAGCCAGATTTGAGAATTGCTTGCCAGTACAACAGTGATGCTACACCAAGATTTCAATATTCATGTAGGGCGTTGCGGATTCCATATCATGCTAAAGAGGACTCTTGAATTGTATCGGGGAGAACTATCTCAGAACATTCAATATCTTATATCACAATGTACCATTGTATGTGAGAGAACTTTCTCGGCGAATGTCGTGATTCAAATAGCAAAATAGTATCTTGTATCCTGAACAAGGAATCTGTGAGAGATGTCTGTATGTAGGTAGAATTTACTATACTACCGGTATTCTTGCTCTTGAATAGGATTGTATATATGAGGAAGAAAGTATGGGTCTAACTAGGCCGGCAGTATTCCATGTGTAAAGTAATGTATATCGAATCAAAGACCTTTCATTGATTGTTTGTGTTTAAAGTCCGAATTTAATAGCATCCCAATTTTTTAAGTAGGTTCTGCTCGTAGCTTCCTCTTAAGTCCGTCGGAGAAAGCAGGCGCAAGCTTCTTTCAAACCCACACTATTTTCAAAGACGTTAGAGCCCATTCTAGATCAGGCTCCCAGGCTTAAACAAATTTATTTCGCACCCCGCAGAATTGGTTACCTTTAATCAGTATCTTGAGCTTCTTTTCAAACTGCAAGTCCTTTCACTTGCGCTCGCCTTAAAAGCTTCATCAAGCAACGAAAGACTCCCCAGATGCTACATGACCAGCTTGAGGTCATTGTTGAATCTTGGGGACGTCAGTCGTGAATTCAAGCTCAAGTAGAAAAGCTTGTTGCGACTGAATGAATATTACGAACATGGCACCAGCAAACGGCGCGTCAAAAGTCATGCAGAATCGCCCAAGGCCTGCAGTTGCGGTTCCGAGAGGCATTGTTCCTGCTCTGCCTCTCTCCTATGGTAAGCCACAGCAAAAGAAACTACCTACTCGAGAAAAGGCGAAGGAAGTCGTAACCCCATCCTCGACGGCCCCAGCAGTCCAAGGACCCATTACATCGATTTCAACTATTGATACACCTTCCGCGCAAATCGATGAGCCCCTTCCAAAAGACAAAGCTTTGGAGGCGACAAACGAACCACCTAAGCCTGCTCCCGCAGCAGTTGCCGATACACCGTCTACTTCTGAGTCGCTGGATGGATTTAGCTCTACTGAGTGCGGTGTTACGATTGGTTCTGGTTCTACTGGTCGTGGTTCTACTGAGCGAAGTTCTACTGAACGAGAGGGCGAGGAAAATTTGGCCAATGTGAATAAAGCAAAAGGTGAGATTTGAGAATTCACTTTCAGCCTCGCCATTTCTGCCAATCCAAAATATTGTCCTTGTCGCTAAATCTTTTCTTTTCTGCAGCAGACAGTCCTCAAGAGGAAAAGCACTCTGCTCCATCCGAAACCCAATCTACCACCTCGAGATCAACATATCAATTGCCTCCACCCTTTGTGCCAGCCAGCAATCAATCCACAATGTCCTCCGAATCTGTACAATTTCCGCAGCAGGTTGCGTTCAATGGTCAACATCCAATGCACCACGCTCATCCCAGCGTTTCGAACCCGATCTTCGGCGGATATCCCGATTCCAATAATTCGTCACCAGCTCCCCCTTCGAGCGCTGGCAATATTCCACCTTATGCTTACGCACAGCAAGGTGGTGCGCGCCATGGTCCTCATCTAGCAAACGGTGGCCATCAACACCATATGTCGAATGGATTTTCGCCGATGACTCCAGCATTCCCTCCAGGATATTACCACCCCCAAGACGGCTTTCAGGTCCCTCCACCAGATGATTTTCTCCGCAAACAAATGCAACCATTTGTTCCACAAGAAGGTTACTCCCCAACTGGTGCTCCCCAAATTGTTGAGAGTCCTCGGTTCAACGGCTTTGATCCAGCCGCTAAGCACAACGTTCATGGATTTCGAACATCGATACAGGACCAGGAGAACGGTTTGGGCCCCCATTATGGACATCATCCATCTCCACTTCCACCAATGGGACCACCACCTTATCGTGGCGTCGTCGGCTACCCGCGCAAAGAAGAAATTCCATGGGCAGGCGGAAACCGCCGAGATCTTTGGTTTCACCTCCGTGAGCAATTTGCACAACCAGAATTTTCTGATTGCGTTCTTGAGCTACGCTACTCCGATGACCGAGCGGCTCCTCTTCGAATTAGTGGTCACAGATTGATATTGGCTCGCAGTTTCGTGTTGAAAGGTCTCATTACATCTGGAGGTAGCGCAAATCGTGATTCACCTCTACCTATCCAGAACATCTTGATTGAGTCAGATGATCGTTACTTGCGATCTGATACATTTTCATTGGCGGTTAGATATCTATATGGTGGACCTGTATTGGACTTAGATGCAATGACCCGCTTTCCGGCTCCATACATTGGATCAGCTCCCATGCCTTTAACCCCAGCTGAACGTTTCGACTTCACGCTCGGCTATATAGCATCAGGGGTTGTTCTTCAAATTCCTCAAATTTGGAAGACTGGTTGCACCATTGCGAGCCAACTCATTACCTGGGACACAGTCGAAAAGGCTCTTGAATTTGCTCTTGAAGGAGGTATTGATGGATCGTGGAACTCAGGAAATGCAGATGTCAACGATGTAGTCGGCAGAAGTACTTACACTCCATGCGCCAACGTCATCATTTCCAATATAATCAACTTCATTATCCTGTCCTTCCCTCCCAACTTCGAATTGGATACGACAGTCTCAGATATTCATTTCAATTCTAGAATTCCGCATGTACCTGATCACCGACCCACAAACTCCCGATTGAGCTCTATTAAGTTCGGCGACCACCCTACAGAAGAGAGCCTTCGCTCCCCTTCCTCGGATTCTATTACTCTTACTCTGTCAAGGTTACTACTCAACTTGCCTTTCGGTCTCTTGAAGCATGTATTAGAAACTGGAAATATGGGTGTTATTCACGGCCATGCAACCCATTTACTTCGACGAAAAATCATGTATCCCGTCATTGAGGAGCGTGAGAAGAGAAGACAGAGAGCCCTTGCTAGTAAAATACCTGATGAGGAGAGAATCAAGAATGGTAGTCAATGGAATGCCGTCGGCTGGAAAGAGGCGGTCCTTCCGTTTGATGACAATCGAAACGAAGAAGTCCCATGCTTGAGAAAGACTTGGGTCGGTTTCACAAATACTGAAAGCAAGTAACCTTGGTTCACTGAAGAACTTCCAAAATGGGCTTTTGTATTTGATCATTAAAAAGGTGCTTTGGCGTTGGATCGGTTCAGCGGTTTCGAGGGCAAATGAGATATGTCTTTGCATAAAAAAATGGGCGGACGGGACTCGTGGTCATTTCTTCTGGCCTACCTATTTTCTTGAGACTTGAGACATTTGCTTGTCTTGCTCTCGGTTGCTAGGTGAAAATAATCAATTTTACGAAAACGTTTTACGGTAGTAATGAGATATGTATGGCATGAATCATTAAACTTCAAAATAGTTGATGAATGAAAAAAAGAACTTTATACCTCTAAACTCTTTAAATGTCCTGCCATTGATTCCGGGAGTATGTACACGCTATCATGATATCCATTATCAGGTACCGCGAGTGAGAGCCATTTGAGGAAGCAAAATGTGAAGTATGTGAACGCACAACGTCTGTTCATGATTTATCAACCACCATGTTTGACGACCCTTTGAGGAGTATACCAAATATGATGCGCATTGTTGAACTGACAATCATATCGAGTGGGTATGATTAAAATGATACATTTTGTAGACCGCATAACAAAGCGGACTGATATTTACCGTCGCAATAATAATATGTATCTCATCCAACATCGAGGGATGTTCAATGGTAATGATAATGAAGTCCCTTTCTCATGATGAAATTTGACGAAGGTCCTCAACTAGTATTTCATTGTACTGTATTATTGTTCAAGAGGATTCAGGAAGTGAAGGGCGCTGATCAATAAAAGAGGGCCCAACAAGGATTGATAAGAAAAAGTTTGCATCACGTGCTACACTAATTTTGGAAAATTCGGTTGTGGGATTGTTTGCCCTAAATTTTTCGAACCCAGCAAGTCCAATACTGCGATTCCGACATCTCGAATTTTGAAGACGACGACCAACGACAACTTGATTGCAATCCGACAAAATGGCGATCAAGCACAACCAGCAAATTGCCCACAACCGTATGTCCTCTTTGCAGATCAATTAGGACCATTACACAGATGCTGATTATGGATAGATTTCCGAAAGGATTGGCAAAGACGAGTTAGAGTTCACTTCGACCAGGTAAACCACGCGCAACCGGAATGCAGAAACCTCTGGAATCGAATCTAACAATATAAATAGCCTGGCCGAAAACTCAGACGCCGCAATGCTCGTCTCGCAAAGACTGCAGCTGTCGCCCCACGCCCAATCGACTTGTTGAGACCTGTTGTCAGATGCCCAACCATCAAGTACAACAGACGTGTACGAGCTGGCCGTGGTTTCACCCTCGCCGAGTTGAAGGTGAGATAGATCGGAAATTTTCAGTTCCGTGGGAATAGATTTCTGATGTTATTATAATAGGAGGCACAAATCCCCCGCAAGCTCGCCCCAACCATCGGTATCTCCGTTGATGCCCGCCGTCAAAACCTCTCCGTCGAGTCCCTCAAGGCCAACGTCGACCGTCTCAAGTCCTTCCGTGCCCGCCTTATCCTCTTCCCACGCAAACTTGGTCAACCTAAGAAGGGTGACTCCACCAAGGAGGAAGTCGCTGCTCTCAAGGAGACCAGCAGCCGTGTCAAGAACGCTCTCCCAATCTCTACTGTCGAGGGTGGATTCTCAGAGATCAAGAAGAGCGATATGCCAAAACCAATTGAGGGAGGTGCATACAGAAAGTTGCGCGTTGCAAGAAGTGATGCTAGATTGGCCGGAAAGCGTGAGAAGAGAGCAAAGGATGCAGCTGATGAGGCCGCTGCTGCCAAGAAATAAATGGCATGAATGGTTCATGGGTCTGTTTTATATTCTTGCGGGGTGCGATGGATGGATGTGGGCTACAAGAGCGGTTCAAAAAAACTGCATAGGTGTACTCTCATGAATTCAACGGCTATTGCACAAAACTAATGAATTTTTCAATAAGATGTTCTGCATGTGAAGGTGGTGCTTTTGGTCGTGAAAATATGTTTTACTTGGATGTTCGAGTGAACTATCTTTTCTGCAAGCAAAAGTATGTCCCAACAGCACTTTTGAATGCTGTTCTACTGATTATGATTTCAGACTTGAGATTTCGAAACCTCACCGCGGCCGTTCATCGCTCATCAGGAATTGGATACAAGATGCAAGTTTACCGGAGCAAAAACATGGGGCTTAGAGCGTGTGATTCTCACCCGGATTTCCAAAGCTGTTGGACAATCTTGCATTCATTACTTCCTGCGACCTTTTTTTTTTTTACATACCGAAGAGCCGGCCATCTGTGTATTCACCATCGACTGGGAATTCTAGCAACCCATCTCTCTGTTCAAATTCTTTGGGCCTGATGGGAAGATGGAAAGCTTCACTCTGCGGCCTCGCGATAAGCTTGCTCATTTCACTGCCTTGTCTCGCCTTTAGCCCACTCAATCATCTCCTCCACCTTACCTTCAAACCCCCAGATGTCGTCCGAGAAAGTGGTAATAATCCCTGAGCCTTTAAATCTCCCGGAGAACCTTGTGTTCGAAAGTCATCGGTCATATTGCTTGCTCAGGTGGATCTCGATATCCTGCGCTTGCAATGGTAAATTCATCGGGAATGGAGTCCCGAGTTGCTTTGCCTTGAAATTTTATAGTATAGGAGGAGAGTTCACGCTAGAATGCAAGTACTTTGTGTCTAAAGCATCTCATTTCTTCATAGTTAGTCTCTAAAGACATAAGATTTGCAACAAATTTGATTGATCAGGTATGATATTCGATAAGCTACCATGTTCAATGAGGGGGCAAGACAGCGAGGTCGAAAAATGAACCGCTGTCGTTTTGAAAAAGTTAAATCGCACATGGGGTCACCCGCTAGCCCAAATAGTTCGCCTTCAAGTTTCACGATGCAAATCTTTTCCTCGACGGATGTATGATCCAAGATATCTGACCAATGGTGCCTCAGAACTCTCACTGCACAATCCAGGAAACTTCGGCAGTAGAACAGTAAGCATAGCATAAACATTAACGTCAATCATCCCATCGGCAAACACAATTCTTCGACACCACTCCTCATACTCACTTCAACGGAGTAGCTGCATATTTGCAGTGATCTTACATGCCAGTTTGCCCAAGAGAGTACCTTAACAACCTGTTTGTGCCAACTGTTATTCAAAAGGTCTACCTGGGAGCTAGTGACGGGACATACGTCCCAGTGCTGTGCCGTGGTATAATATTGTGTGGGAGGAAGCATTTCGATGGTAACTAGCATAGTCGACCATTTTCTACAATCAAAAGGAGCAGTTATTGTTTATCAGATGAGTTAGCAGTGATGGATTATGAAACCGAACAATGGATATCGCTTTCGCGTAATGTTTAGCTTTACTTGCTGCCTTCCTGTCAATGTGTTCCTACGAGAAATTTATAGTCATTGACTATTAGGTTGCAATGCCGCCGGCACGTGCTGAAACCGAATGAGGCATCTTCGACGAGGTGCATTTCGCATACTGATACGAGGTTGAAATGATTATACTGTAGTCTCTTGTGTTGTACTCTAGTGCTTTCATCAGTTCCACTCAACGATTGGCACCAAACGTACCCGATAAATTACTCGCTGCAAAGATGAATGACCTCATCATTTCTCTAACGGTATTGACAATTTCCCATACCAAGCTGCTTACCATATCGTTAAGGGGAACGCCTGCATCTGCGTAATCTTCTTTGTGTGATGCTGTTTCGTGATGTGGAGAATGATATACCGCTCAACCAAGATGATTGTGATCTCCTCGCTATCAATTGTGTTTATACATAAGGTCATGATCATATTCATTGGTAGGTTGTATGGTATAGGTGGCTTGTCTACACTGATCAATAGAAATTATATGTCTTCTTTTGTTGGGTACGCAATTATCAGGCTGGATATCGGTTTTTAGACTACTTCGTCTTCAAAGTGGTGCTTTGAAATATTGGCATGGTAACACGCACAATAGCTTGAATCGAAGCTTATCAAGGTAGACATATATGTAGTGGGAGACATCCGAAACACCAGTATTAAAGGAGCGCATTGGTTAGAACGATTCGTTTTATCCACCTGGGCAAGAGTAGCTAGACATAGATTTCGCCTTGATGCATTATTCTATCATCATTTCAACCGTACAAATCATCATCTCATACCTCCCGCCTCCCATTCTTTCTCCCTCTATTCTATTCAACACCTTCAAATTCTCTCGCTCCGTTCTTTAAGCTTATCATCTTAACACCTTCGTGGAAATCCTTACTCCTCTTTTGAATTTCTGCCTTGGTCGATGCTCACGATATATTTTTCTATTTCCAGCTTCCTGTACTTGTATTTGGCCTGGGATCTAGCTACTCTAGCTACTCACTCTCTCTCCCCCCTCTAACATTACACAACTCGATGCTCGTCTTTCTATTACTGCATCGTTAGAGAAGAAAGCTTTCCACATTAAAAAATCCTTTCAACCTGGAGAATCTGCAGCGGACTTCTCCTTATTTTCAATAACTTTCTCAGAAAACAGTAGTTTTAGAGTTTCAACTCGTTTTCGTCATGTATGTATCAAAGTCTGACTGAAACTTAAAACTTTGGGTAGAATTGAATTGTACAGCTGTATCTCAATCCCATTACCGTTACCTATGCTCTTGTCCGTGGGGAAATTTTGCAGGTAAGGAATGTCCCTTGTGCAGAACGTGAAAAATAATTTACCGGTAACCAGCACTAATGCGAAACTTATTGGCGTGGTAAGGTTCATGTGCAAAATAGTGGTGATGCTTGTCAAATAGAGACTAGAGCAATCGCGAAGGAAGATTATTTTTGGAGGTACGCTCGTCGTTGATATTGAGATTTATACGTTATGAGGTTAACGAGGATTTTGGAGTACAGTGGGTGGTGAAGTTCAACAAATCATGGATTGGTATAATTTTGCACAGCTATCAATGATTGCCCGTAGTCACGAATGGATGGCCTACAATTTGCAAGTCTACCTTGAATGAAGATTACACAGCAACTTTGCTATGTTGGTAGATACCTCAACAACACGCTGACCTCGCATCAAAAATATCCACACTCGAACAGATCACAATGGATTAGAAAATGAAGAAAGATATGTAGGCAAAGTGTTTGTAAACAGTCAAACACAAACATGAAATTGGTAAAATGCAGCATCAGATAGTACCCCTATACTTTGGTCCACGCTATGCATTCTAAAACCGTACTCTTTGATATCCCAAACTCCATTTTCCCAGTCCAATCTCATCATATGCATTTCTTTCTTAAGCAGGTCTCCTCCTCGCAAACTCCTCCAAATCTGTCTTCGTCGCAACCCCCAACACAAATCTTCTCCTCTCGTCTGTCACAACGGCAAACTCCTGTTTGCCCCCCTCGCCATTCTCTCCCCCGCTGAAAAATAACTCTAAATCTTCCAACGGCGTGTCCATCGTGATAACCTTGTATACCTTTCCCTTCCTCCTGAATTTTACCATGGCTTTAGATACCTCATCTGATTCTTGCACTTTTCCTGTCTCGAGCAAGATGCGTAGATGGGGAATGGAGAGGTAGCCTAGGAGAGCGCGGGTGTCGGGGGTTACGACGGTGAGATGTGTGTAATCGCGTTCGAAGGCGCTCATAAGAGCGTATGAGATGGGATCGGTAGGATTACAGGAGAGGGCAGATGGAGGGTCGAGATCTTCGACTGTGGCCTAGATGAGTAGTTTGGTTAGCATATTTGTTTACGCCCATTCATAGTCATAGCTGGGCGATGACAAGGTTACAATGTACGTACTCCTCTATAACGATTTGCCAATTTTGAAAGACCGGGTTTCGGTGATGAAGACATCTCTGCTGGATTTGAGGTGGCGGCTGTTGATATTTGATTGGGTATAATGTTGGACATTTGGATAGATGTTATTTCAAGAGGTAGGTAATAAGATTACATTCAAGATCAACAAAGTAACAAATAATTTTATGGTGGGGAGGAAATGGTGGGGTAAATTGTAATTAGGCGGGTCCGGATTTGACGTGGTAGGCTCGTAGGGAAGGAAGTCTATGGATACAGCCAGACAGCGCGTGTGTGTTCCTGTGCCTGAGACTGAGACTTCCGATTACATTCTAGAAGCTTTTCCCTCGTTTGTGAATAACTTCAATTCCGGAACGTACCGACCTATGTATCATTATCACGTGGTTCAAAAGACATAGGTATTGCAAGGCGCTAACTGGATTTTTGACTTATTCCTGATCCAGGTTACTCATCAGGGGGAAGCACCTCGGATATCATGTAGCATTCTACATCGTACAAAGCAATTGAGCTCCCACCATCTCCTCCTTTGTACCTGAGAAGCATGAGAAAGAATCCATCATCCCACAGAAGCTGTTGTATCATTCATAATCGAGCCGGGCAACAATTCTTACATCGCATTCAAAACAACGTTCCTGCCCGTTCCCATCCGATGAATTGATCAGTGCCAACCTCGCACGAGGGATGAGACACCATCTAGACTTTGTACCGTATACAGTCGCATATCATTGGCCGTTGAAGTAATTGCTTCGGCGTCAAAACTGGGTCAAGCTGTCTCATCCATCCGGATTACCCATTCAATCCAACTTTCCTCGAATTATTTAACAAACCAGCATCGCATCTCATCGCACTTCTTTCCATTCCTCACTCATAAGCAATCGCTCTTCTCATTCATTCTTCAAAATGCCTTCAATTTTTCCCTCTCAAGATACTCTTCACGATGCATTCCATGCTCCAAATCCCTACGGTCGCCGAACCGAACCATCAATTCAATCACGTACCACTCCCGTATCAAAGC